TATTCTTTGCATGTCTAAGGGTAGCATAGTTCCTGCTACTTAAGGTACTTAGTAAATGTTTGTTGAAAGAATCCATTAATAAACATAGTAAGTTTAAAAATTTAAAAAAAAAAGGTTGCTAAAACTAGGTGTGAAATAATGATAGATGCTGAGTAAAGGCTTGAGAGGCTTGCTCTAATACACAGACTTGCAACAGTTTCTGTACACGTTCTAATTCTCAACTATATTCCAGATAGAGTAGAGTGCCATAGGATTGAGTTCCTCATTTTTCATGAGAGATGAAAAATGATATTGGTAGGTTTACAAACAACATATGAAATGATAGCATAAACTTCAGCCAATTATATAAAATTTAGTGTTATCAAATAATTCTTCTATTTCTAGGCACACTTGACCTACTCCAAACAGACAACAGATGAATGGAACCGGCGTTCTTATATTTTTTAGGGAGTTGCTTGATTGCGCACCTCATCACACCCACGAGCTATGTGATTTTGGACAAATTATTTAGTCTCTTTTAATCTCAGTTTGCTTATCTGAAAATAGTAATGACAAAACCTTTCTCACAGGGTGCTTGAAAGAATTAAATATTCATTTTAAAGCACTTATCATAGGCCTGGCCCTTAATAAGCACGAAGTTACTTTTATTGTGATACATGGTCTGTTCTGGGAGTTGAGACAGTGGTGCCAACCAGTTGTGTGCACGGCCCGGCGATGTGGCTGCAAAGACATTTTTCTCTTGTATTTGCTGTCTGGCAGACACTGCTGTGCCTCACTACTGGATATTTTGGGACCAAATATGGCACTGTAAATTGAAATAAGCTCTAAAGCTTGAAGTCTTCTAAGTTTCCTACGTCATAGAAAACAGGAATTTCTATTACACCAGCATTCTAAAGAATGGGATTTCAATGTGAGTAATGTTAAAATGATGAAGAAAAGGGAACTTGAAAAAAGACTGGTAATCCAAGTCCCCACAATTTATTATAAAGATCGCAATCTTTAGCAACTGGCATCTGGAAATATACAACCTTCCCGTACTGAGGCCAATGATTATGGAATTAAAACACTCACTGTCAAAAACAAAAATGATAGCTTCAAATTTGTATGCAGCTAAAGTATTGCACACAAAAGTGAATTTTCCTCGAAAAGTGCATTAGTTTCTCCTCAATTTAAATGAACAAATTCACGATATCCCCATTTCTTTCCCAGTGTTATTTATCACAACAAAATATACTAACATGTTTCTTAAAATAGAGAAATTAAATACTGCAATATAAATGGGCTATCTTACAAATTGTTATACTCACATATCTATAAAGAGCACTCTAAAATATGGATGAGAATACAGACAGTGATACTATATCAAAAACTCCCTAAAAAGAAAGAATTCTTGCTATTCTTTCTTTAGATACGAGATTTTATGATCTCCACTTCAGCTTAACAAATATCTTTTGCCAATGTTTTTTCATGGTCTTTCTAATCTATCTCCTTACTGAACTCGGCCAATTTCTTTTTCACTTCTAGTGAAGTTTACCCACTACTTGATGATTATGTTAAGTAACTCCTCAGATTGTCTTCCTTGCTAAATTCCAACACTGTTACTATAGATCCTACTTTCCAACCTATTAACTAGCTGTATAGCTGCTTTTGATTCTTTTCTTTTTCTTTTTTTGGTGAGGAAGATTTTCACTGAGCTAACATCTGTGCCAATCTTCCTCTATTTTATAAGTGGGATGCTGCCACGGCATGACTTGCTGAGCAGTGTGTAGGTCCACGCTCTGGATCTGAACCTGTGAACCCCAGGCCACCGAAGCTGAGTGTGCGAACTTGACCATTATGCCACTGGGTTGGCCCCCTCGATTTTTTTCTAAATAAGGCATCTTTAATACACAAAAACATTATATGTGCATCTCAACTCCTCTTGAAATCATTTTGGCTTTTCAGTAACACTTTCGCACTAAACTTCTGAACTGACAAGTCATCAGTATTGACTCAGTACACATGATGCATTAAGAAAATCTTGAATAATACTTTTCTAAAATATAGTAGTCCCCCCTTATTTATGGTTTTGCTTTCCGTGGTTTCAGTTACCCTCGGTCAACCGTGGTCTGAAACTATTAAATGGAAAATTCCAGAAATAAACAAGTCATAAATTTTAAACTGCTCGCCTTCTGAGTAGCATGATGAAATCTCGAGCCATCCTGCTCTGTCCCGCCCAGGATGTGAACTGTCCCTTTGTCCAGTGTACCTATGCTGTATACACTGCCCACCCATTAGTCACGTAGCAGGGGTCTCGATTATCAGATCGATTGTCACAGTATAGGTATCACAATGCTTATGTTCAAATAACCCTTATTTTACTTAATAATGGCCCTAAAACACAAGAGGAGTGATGCTGGCAATTCGGATATGCCAGAGAAACTCATAAAGTGCTCCCAATAAGTGAAAAGGTAAAAGTTCTCAACTTAAGGAAAGAAAAACATTGTATGCTGAGGTTGCTAAGATTACGGTAATTTTTATTACAGTGTATTGTTATAATTGTCCTATGTTATTATTAGTTGTTAATCTCTTACTGTGCCTAATTTATAAATTAAACTTTATAATAAGTAGGTATGTAAAGGAAAAAACAGTATAAACAGGATTTGATGCTATCCGAGGCTTCAGGCATCCGCTGGGGGTCTTAGAATGTATCCCATGTGTATAAGGGGGGACTACAATACTAAATCTCCTAGAATAGTTAAAAACTGAATCATAGCATAAAGTTTAAGTATGCTGTCATCAATATGAAGAAAACTATTTTATTTAGGGTTTTAAAAACTTTATCTGAAATTGTGGTTCTTTTTTTAGTTGCTCTTCAAGTCTTCACTTTAGCTCTTGACCACTTGGGAACTCACTTACTGAAAAATGCGTTATCAACAAAACTATGGGCTGAGCAAAATCAAGTTTTAAAACAAATACAAATAAAACCTTGCAAAATTTATGCCACAATTATGACACCTGCAGTTCTGCAGGGAGTAAAAGAGGAAGTGGTGAGGGAAGGCAAAGACATCACATTAAGATGGGGAGCACGGACACTAAGGGTCCAATAGCAGTAACGCGCTCTAAACCTGGCCTGAATAAGATAGAACTTGCTAATAATTCCTGTACTTGGGAATCCTAAAAAAGTCTCTTAATAAATTCAATTTTCTATCCCCCCCAATCTTTTTTTAACTAGAACTTTCATATACTAAATTTCTAAATGTAAAAGTTTAATAAGACCCGCTTAAAAGCCAAATACAAAATTTGGTGTTTGCCCTGAAACTTAGAACTTCTTTATCTTGAGAACTTTTAAAAACTCAATTTCTGTGAAATCAACACTAGCTATTCTCCATGCATATCTGTAGTACACTATGGGGATCTGTAGGGGAAAAAATAATTATCGACCATATTAACTATTGGAATACATAAACATCTCCGCTTTGAATGATTATAATACAGATAATAGTCAAGTAGTATTTAAAGAGATTAAATATTGCCGTTTCCCTAGGCTTCTGTGCCTGGTCCTCTTTTTGTCTAGCTTTACTAATTCTTGCGAGGTCATTTTTTTTTTCTTTACGATTTCAGGTCTACTTATGTGCTGACAGTTCGTGTCATTATTCCCAGCCAAGCGCTTTTTCCTGAACCTCAGGCCTGTAGGCCTAATTGCCTAAGAGACGTTCATAGATTCATTCATTTGGTCATTCATTTAGTCAAAAATTCTTTGAGCATCTACTCTGTGCCAGGGATTGTTCTCAGCATTGGTGATAGAGCAATGAGCCTAACAGACAACACTCTCTGCCCTCATGAAAGTTACGTTCTAGACAGATGATAAGCAAAACAACTAAGTGAAAAAAGTGTTATAGAGAAAAATAAGACAAGGAAGGGCTTGGATGGGAATCTGGGAAAAGGTACATTTTTTTAAAAGGCTGTTTGGGAAGACTTTACTACGTAGGTGACATGTGAGCAAAAACCTGAAGGGAGTAAGGAAGTGAGTGTACAGAAATCTGGAGGGAAAGCACCAGGTGTCCCACAAGCACATCAAACCAGATGCACAACTGAACTACTCTTTCTCCTTCCAAGTCGGCTTCTCTTCCTCTATTTCCTGTCTGAATTGTGCCATCACCTCTTCCACCATTCAAGAAAAAAAGCTTGAGATTTACCACTTGACCCTACTCGTTCCGTAACTGAACAACAATCCACAGCCCAAGGCCCTTTGACCCCATCTCCTATCCTAATATCTCCTATTGACTTCTTTCCATCCCTATAGCAAGGATTATTGTTACTGCCTTGTCCAGGCCAACATCATTTTTCCTTTGGATTCTTCTAATATCCATTGTCTTAACTGCTCTTCTTGCCTCCAATCTTTCTTCCTCCAATCCATCCTTGATGCTACCCAACAATGAGGTTTGTGAAATGCAGAGTTTATCATGCCATTCCCCGGCTTCCACTTTTCGGTGGCTCTTCATTATGGACAAACCCCTACTCTTCAGGGTGGCACGGAGGGTCTAACGTGATTCGCACACTTGCCCTGCAGTCCTCCTCTGCCTAATCTCTCCAGGTTTCTCACCATCTTAGGTAAATTTACTGGCTCTAGTTCTGTGAAGTTCCTCCTAAAAGCGAGCCCTTACACACCTTCTACAAGTTACTTCGATAACAGTGATCTGTTTACATGTTTGTCTTTCCTAAACCCAGCTCGGTGCTTGGTTCAAAGCAGGCACTAAAAAAATGAATGGCTAATATTAAACATATTCCCCTTAATGACTGCTATAATATAAATATGTACACCCCATATCTAAGCTCCAGCCACAGGAAAAAGGGTTCCTCTCTCCTCAAACCCTCAGAATCACCTTAGGAACTCCTCAACATATTCTGAGACTGAATACAAACAGCCAGTCTTATTTGCTGGGAAAACCATCCATTTAAAAGCACAGCACTCCTTTTCCAGTAACAGCTTCTACTTCGGGGAATTCACGTATACACCATTTCATTTGTGCACTTTTATTTTTAGCAATAAAGAGAATTTCAGTTCCAGAATACATGAATTGCAGAAATTATGTCACTTCTGTCAAAGAAACTTTGAGGTTTGAGAGAAATCGTCATAGTGATTAAAAAAGGAAACTAAAGTTAGTGATAGGAAGTAAGTAGAGACAAAGGAAAGGTAGCTTTACAAAGCTACTCTAGCGGGATCTGAGAGGAAAAAGATCCAACTTACATATAAGGGGGTAATGAAAGTGTAATCCATAATCAACAATCCAGACATAAAATCAGCAAAATATTTAACATATAAATGGTGGACCAGGAATAGCAAAACGTAGTTTGATATGTATCATATGTAGAGCAAAATAAAACAGTTTGCAAGCTTCTCATTTATTGCGCCTAGTGGGGTAGCAAATGTTTGTTCACAACAAGAACCTGATGGTGAATGGAAATTTACAGTACATGATAGCAGGAGAGGTATGTTACTGGTAGTGTTTCCATTTGTTACTACATAGTCATTCCTTATTAATAAATAGCAATTGGAATTAGACAACTGAGTACAATTTCCAAAGACTTATGGTTCATTTTGTTTTTTAGATAACAGTAAAAAATAATTATTAGAATTTTTACTTTTATACGCTTGTCTCCATTTTGATATTTCTACCTATGCATCTAGGACAATTTATACTCTTGATAATGGTACAAAATGTAACTTTTTAAAAATAGAAATTCTCAAAGATATTTTAAATACTTTGTAGACATAAAAAACAGGGTTTTATTTAGAGAAGTGTTATGGAGAGTTAAACTGAATATTGGCTGGTTAACTCTCTCGAAAGACCTCAAAACTCAAATTTTTTTCTCTATGGCTGGCAACCCCAGCCAGAGATTTACCAGCATAGGGAGAATAAACTATAGCTTATTTTTGTCAGATTTTATTATGCACAGCAATCAACTGAAGATGTTAAAATACAGATTGCATCTCAGTAGGTCCAGGATAGAGCCCTGGATTCCAGGGCTGCTGCTGGTCCACAGACCATACACTTTTGAATAGCAAGGCCTTCAGTGGCTCTCAGCCTTTATGCCTATTGGAATCACCTGGGGAGGTTTAAACACTTCTAGGGGTGAAAGGTTATTTAATCTGGGGTCCAGTCTGGATACTGAGTTTTAAAAGCTCCCGAGAGATTAACAAGCAGCTCAATGTGTGAACCTATGGCCTAAAATGCATTGGTTAGGTCTACTGGTACGTTTTATCTCCCCTGGCTTCTATTACCGTAAGTACCACAGCTCGGAATAACCAGTACATAGATTATGAGAATAATAGATGCTACAAATCTCCATATTCTTACTGAGAATATGATCCATTATCAATCAGGTTCTAACATTAAGAATCTTAGTGGCTTCGCTTCTATACTCCTATCAAATTATTTAATAACATACTTTTAATAATACTTTCAAGTTAAATATTCATGGAATTATAATGAAATAATCTGAACTATTTTTAGATTAGGAGGTAGATATGTAAAAATGTGATTTTAAAGTATATGAGGTGTCTATTCCTAATTACAGAAAAAAAGGTTCAGATTAGTTAGGAAGTTTATAAAAAATAATCCCCAAACCTGGTACTTACACCAGGAGAAAAGCCCAGACAGAAAGGAAAAGCAAACGTTTACTCAGCATCCCTACTTGAAGTGGGTACCACTGATCCTGGAGTTACAAACTAAATTAGCACTCTGTCTTCATAAGGCCTTTCCTAATTACTGTGCTATGGTGAGGTTTATAAATGGTTAAGATGCAGTTCCATTCCTAGGCTCCCTCCCTAACTCTTAGAAATGCACATCAAAAATACTTAATAAAAAAAATATTGTAAACTCTCAGGTATTTGCAGAGATTCCCTAATTGTACTAAATAGTACTGGAGTTCAAGTCAACTGCCATATATTAACAATGTGACTTACTCGAACTTTCTGTTCTGAACAGGCTTTCTCACCCCTAAATAAGGGTGTAGAGAAAGTGCAATAAGAATGTGAAACACAGACTAACGCCACATACAAATATAAGATAGCATTAAGTCTATGACGAACGAAAAAATAAATACATAAATAGTGTGGCAGTGCAAAGAAATGGGGACTACTTCCAGCTTTGCCATTAGCCACGTGACAAGCAAATCATATGCCTTAGTCTCATTTTAAAAATAAAGATGCCTCAAATAGATTATCTTGAGAATCCCCAGCAGCTCACAACTCTATGATCTAAAAATACCTGATTAAGTGGTCCTCTATAGCAAATATGATTAATTCTAACACAAAAACACCAAGAGCTTACTTTTAACATGATTGGTTTAACAAGTCTCCTAAGAAAAATACCATTTTAAACTTGCCTTCAAGAAAAGTCTACTAATTATTTGGCTATAATTTAATAGCAAATAAACTTAAAAATTAAAAAAATGGGGAGTGTAGGGGAATTTGGGAGAAAAGGGATCAATAAAAGCAGTGTAAGAAACACTATGCAGAATTAAAATAATGTAAATTGAGGATAATGAAATATTAAAAAGCTTTTCCTAAGGAAAACTATTTCAAAGCATGAAGCAATGGGATTTTATGATCTATCCTAAAGAATATATAGGCGTTCTTATTAAATACACAAAATGTTTTTCATTACTGCAGGTAACTCATAATTCCTATATAAAATTATCCTAATTAATAAAGATGGTATACCGTACTTGGAGATTATTTCCTTTTAATTTATTCTTTAGTCTGAACACATGCCCTGCCAACCACAGAATACCTAGTGAGACTAAACACATGAGAAATCCCTGTTAAGGACCACAAAGTGTCACTCTCGCAGCTCCCGGTCACAAGGATGCTGAGAAAATGTAAGAGGGAAGGAGACCCAAGGTTGTCTGGATTCTAAGTTCCAATCATTAATCTTCTTCAGAACTGGAATCATCCTCTTGGTCAGAGAGTTCAGGGACAGGGAAGCGGAGAATGGCAGCTACTCCAGTCAACTGGCTGAGCTGTTCCCCAGAGACATGAAGACTGGAGAATATCCTAACAGTGCCTGCATTCTCTTTCACGCTGTCCACCAGCTTCACATACCGGCTCCGAGTGGCCACATCCTGGTGCCTGAAGAGCTCATCGCTGATGAGCAATGTGTCAATTGCCATGGCCTCATTGGCCTTCTCCACCTGCTTGAGTCCATAAAAAGCTCGGTCTGGTTCATGTTGTAACATTTTATAGAAGTCATCCAAGGCTTTTACTTCCCCAGCAGCTTTAGTGTCTGAAAGGCGGCTAGCCACGGCAGGGTCACAAAGGGCCTCCTTCAGGGAGTACTTGTGTCCAGAGGAGGCATGGACCTGGAATCACAAGGATAAAAGTGAGACGAAGGAATCTCTCAGAGCACCCATTAATCAGCCCACGATGACCTAAAGCCAACAGCTTTAGGTTTAAGGACTTCAGCAAAGTTTACTATATAATTTGCTAGCTATTTAACAGTTCTCCTTTCATTATCTCATTTACCATCCCAGTCAAGTAAAGACTGTCTCCTCTTGTACTTTTCCCAGTTTTAAAACTTTTAGAAGTAGTTTCTACAAATCCCTCTGCCCATTCTTAACCATCCCTGGGTAAGACTGTTTTACCTGAAGGAATTTGGACCGGTTTTCCAGGAGCACTTTGTTGTCGGTCTTCACGGCTTGTTGAAACATGTAGTCGCAGAACTGCTCCCTCACAAATCCGGGGCTGGCCACCAGGATGCACTTTACAACATCGAAGTGGATGTGGCGCTGGATGGCCTGGACCACCTGTTCATAGAACCGCTCCAAGGCCCGGTCATGCTGGGAGCAGTTGCCCTTCCGTTTCCGAGGGATGTTCACCTCCACCTTGGCCCGAGTGAGGGTCATACTGGGAGTGACTAAGCAGATATGGGCGAGGCCTTCCTGCATGACCACAGCTGCCACATCGGCGCTCCAGGCTGGGTCACAGGCCTGCTCGATGCGCTCCAGAACGACACTGTCCCACTGTTTCTTGGCCAGGGTGAACTGGCGGTTGGGCTCCAGCTCGATGGTGTGGTAAGCCCCCATCTTGACATACTCATTCTCTTGGATGTTGGTCCCCTTGACCCGCAGCTGGCAGGCCTGAGAGTCGAAGTCGATGGCCTCCACGCACAGAGTGAGGGTAGTGCGCACCCGGTTGCTTCCCACGCTGCCCGTGGAGGACTCGGTCTGTACCTTGCGGATGGTGGAGGCGCGCAAGCTGTCGCCCACCTGCACTAGATTGTAGGTGTGCCACATGTCCTCCGGCTCCTCGGGGACCAGGGTCACCTGGCCCGCATTGTCTTTCTCGATGTCCTTCCTCACGAGCCTCATGACCTTGGCAGGGGCTCGCTGCCGGCACAAGAGGAACCGAGGGGGTCCCCACCGGGCCGGGGGCAGGGAGGGGAAAGGAAGTCTAGGCCGGGAAGGGGGCGGGGTCCGCTTCCTACAGCACTTGCCTGGCGGAAAGGGACTACTCTACGTCCAACTCAAGCGGGCGAGGCGGAGCACCAGCCTTTCTTCCCTCAGTCTCCGGCGGGCCGCGCGAAACCGGCACGAGAAACACCGCAGCGAACGCCGCACTCCCCGCGGTTCCAGCCGCCAGCACAAATCAAGCGGCTGATGCAATGAGGGCGCATGCGCACGTCTTACGCACCAAGGGGGAGGCGGAGCCGCATTTGCGCCTGCGCAAGCGGGCAGGCGCCCCTGACAGACGAACCAGCTAAGGAAAGCGCGCGGAATCTTTCGTGGCAAGTCGTTTATTTTAATGCTGACCTTTCACTTCCTAAGTTTTCTCTTCTCTCCCTGTTTGTGAAGAATCTTGAGGAGTATGGGAGTGCAAATATGGTTTTTTCAACTGCGTGCAGTTGCCGCTCTACACCTTCTCCCTCCGGGTAAATACAATTTCAAAACTTATCTAAAAGTAAAAGGAACTGTCAAAAAGTGCAGACTTGGCCCCAAACGTCCAAACTATTCCCAGCTTTGCTCCCGGCTTATCCGCACGCAGACGCTACACGCCTGTTGGAGTTGGCAGGTCCAGACGTTGTTTCTAAGAACGACTGGTCAGGTGGTTCTGAGCTCTGAGCAACGTGCTCAGCTGTTTTCTGCGCTTAGTTACCGAGTCTGCACGATCTGATTAACCCAAATGTTAAAGCGCTGATTCCAGAGAGAGAAGAGATCATCTGCGGAATTTAACCCTGGGTGGACCTCTCAGTTGCTTGACCTGATGTCCTGGGAATCCCATAATCCAAAATTGGCAGTCTCAGCTTTCCGCAACTCAGTGAAATGGTTAGGGTGGGGGTTGGGTCGCAATAGATTAGGGCAGGATAAGCTAAACTGAGAGCTGAGGCTATGGGAAGAGGGGAAAAACTGATCTACTGTGACCGACCCTGATGGAATAGCTACAGAATTGATTTCAAAGAAAATCCTTAAGTCATTTAACATTTTTTATTGGAAAGGGGGAGCGGAGGAGTTTGAGCAGTGGGGATTGCCTCTTAAAAAGACCAGTGAATAGAAAAAGCCCACCAAAGTTTTCTGGAGAGTTAAAATGGGGTGGAAGGCAGAGGAGTCCTACACACAGAGCTTCTCGTTCTCTTTCCTATCTTACTGGGTATGGCATTGAAAGGGAAGCTTACCACCCTGAACTGGTGAGAGAGAGGATGATAAGGGAGGAGTCTGACTTTGGCACAAGTCTTGCTACTCAAGTCTCAATTATCTGCCTCAGAGATTGTCAGGGGACACAAAAGTCCCCTCCAAAGCGCTAGGGCAAATTAGAACCGCTATTTTGCCGCCCTCCTTTCTTTCCCTCTTTCTCCTTACCTCCTTTCCCTCTTCCTTCCCCACCTTCCTATCCTACTGAATGCCCTGGCAAAGTTCCTCACTCAGATTGCCTTCTTCTTCCACTTCCAAGAGAAGCCAGCAACTTTTCACTGAGCAAGGAACTGATCACACTAAAGTGTGGAGATGGCTTTCCTCTAAAGGATGCTGTATCTTTGGGAAAGGTGCTGCTTAACTTAGAAGAATTCCTAACTGGTAGAGTGAGAGAGAGAGAGTGTGTGTGTATGTATAAGAGAGAGAGAAAGAAAGGAAGAGATACTCTGAGGTGCCCTTGATCACTTTTCTAAGTACAATCCACCTCTCTGGAAAATCTGCCAAGAATCTAAAACCACAGAATCACAGTGGTAGGTGCACAATAGGATCTTAATAAATATTAGGTTTTTATTGAAGAGCTATCGTTTATTAAATATTCACCAGGTACTTTCCTACATTCTTTCTTTCTAAGCCTCATCTGTAAGGTAAATATTTCTTATCCTTATTTTATAGATGAAGAAAATGAATTACAGAGAAGTTAAGAAATGGATTCAAGATCACATAACCAGCATTCAAATTCAGGTCTGCTTAACTCCACACTCTTCTCCTCTTTCCACGAACACAATTCTATGGTTGTGGATGCTTGAAATCATCTCTGCATCCCCACAAATTCTGTGCTGCTACCCACTGCCATTTCCTCTGAACTGCCACCTTTAGCAGTTAAAGACAGACTCAGGAACCAGCCTAGAGGATTTGAAAGGCACTGGTCTCTTCCTAGCTCTTTTATTACTTTTTTAAAAAACTTTATATTCTTCTTTTCAATGTAGTTTTTCTTCTGCCCAGACTAGGTCCCAATATAATCCTTGAGAAAGATCTAAGATTCTACTTTAGAAAAATACACATAGTATTTCTACATTTAAAAACTGTGGAAAACCCACATTGATGGTTAATTACATGGTTGGTTGTGTTTTTTTAAGTTATGAGGCAAACTGCTTTGGGCTGTCTTTTTAAATATAAATGTGCTTCAGTGATTGAACATACTACAAAACTTTTCACAGAATTACTATTTGATCTGAAACATCTGTAATAGAATTTTCTTTAGTAACTTGAGCTTATTGTTGAATGATCAGATGTTTTTCCCCCAGATTTTGGGTTGTAATTTAGTATTTCTAGACCAATCATTGCACTTTTATTTTGAGTTTTTTGGAGTTCTTATTCCCTATTAATTAAAATCCAAATTCCCTGGCATTCAAGGCCTCATGACATGGCCTTACAAGCTTTATTTCCCACTTGTCCCTTCCAGCACCCTATATTCCACTATGGGAGGAGTCTTTGTTCCCCATTCATCCGGGAACTTTCTACTTTGCTGCCTTAGCTCATACTCTTCTCTCTTTTTAAAATGTCACTTTCTCTCAGCCCTGCTTCCATAAATCCTACTTAAGGGCCAGCTTAAATGTTATCTCAAATTTGAAACCATGCATTATATTAATTGGAATACATATCTTTTCTTTCTTATTGAGCTCTGGATGGATTCATCCTTGTATCCGTCCACTGTCTCTTGGAAAGTCCCTTGCACATAATGGGCACTCATATATGAATGATAAGCTGAGTGGAACAGACGTAAAGCGTGGCAACTATAGTAACATTATCACAGGCACTTCTTAAGACCCTGCTATTGTTATCAGCTATGGTTCACTTAATTTAATAGTGGAAGTTTACAAAGTAATTCCTCTTATTTTAAAACTGCTATGGTGGGGGCCGGCCCCGTGGCACAGCAGTTAAGTTCGCACGTTCTGCTTCTGGGCAGCCTGGGGTTTGCTGGTTCAGATCCCAGGTGTGAACATGGTACCGCTTGGCAGGCTATGCTGTGGTAGGTGTCCCACATATAAAGTAGAGGAAGATGGGCATGGATGTTGGCTCAGGGCCAGGCTTCCTCAGCAAAAAGAGGAGGATTGGCAGCAGATGTTAGCTCAGGGCTAATCTTCCTAAAAAAAACTGCTATGGTTATAGCAGTGAAATAATACATAGCCATACATGGTATTTTCATTCTTTACTAAAATAAGCAAGATCATGAGAAAAAAACATAATTTAGCTATGTTGTTTTAAATTCTAATTTTAGATTCTAATTTAATTTTATACTTACTTATTGGATCTTAGAAAATAGAAATCTTTATATCAGTAACTTTAATTCTATTTATTTTTCCTATAACATTTTATTTAAATGAATCTCTCCAGAAAAAAAAAAGTCAGCGTTGTTGCCTCCAAAAGTTTTCAATTTGTTGTTTTTGATATACTTCCAATGTCTCAAAAGGAGAATGGGGCTAGAAGTCAGGCATCTTGGATTGCGATTCTTACCCTGTCAATTGTTTTTACTGTAATTCTTGGTAGCTCTCAGTCTCTTTGAAACTCAGTTTCTTTTACTTAAGAATTGAGGAAACTGAATTAAATAATTAAAATTGTTTTAATTGCAGAAATTGTGCTGCAGCAGTATTTAAAAAATTAAAACAATATCCATAATCTCACCCTAACACATTTGTTTTCAATTTTGCTTACTATGTTTTGAATTTGATTCTTCCTAAGGCCCAATTTAGTGGTAAAAGATTGATTCTACGTTTAGTGCTTGCACACCAAGAGTCGGCTCACGTGAGTTAAGGTCTTTTCTAGGTAGATTCTAGCAACTTTGGATAAGTCCCCTAACCTCTATAAACCTAAACTTTTTCATTCTAACTTGTTAATAAAATTATTTGTCCTGCCTCTCTCATTTGACAACCCTATATGGCTCTAATGAGATTAGGATAAATTGTAGAGCTCTAGAAACGTGTAGGGTACTATGGTAAATCTCTAAGAATGCCTGGCTCAAAGCTAGAAATCTGGATCAGACAAAGCAAGGAGAAAGGGCTCACTTTAACATGATTATAATTATTCAGCCTTGGAAACCTAACTGGTTCAGTAGAGTTGACTGACGGATGATCTGTTGAGTGCGTTTATTTATACCAGCACCTCCTTTCCAGGGAAATGTTAGGTCAGTCCTACTGCATGAAGTGAGGGGTTCATGCACCTCATTGGTGAATTGGATTACGATCCTTCTTCCTTTTATAATAATATGTTAGAAATGGTTTGCATGGCAGCAGCAGGGATTATGGGCTCCTGAGGGATGGAAATCTTAAGTACCCTGTGCTTACTTAGCACAGTGACCCTTAAAGAGTAGGGGCTGTATAAATTTGGGTTCCATCTTATATTTTTGCAAAGCTTACTTTCCAGCAATACAAACCTAATCTTTTCCTTTCTCTGCTTACGGGGCTCCTCCCATCTTTGCTTTTTTGCTTGTCTTTTGCCTCTTTCAGACTCTGAGCCCCTTAAGAACAGAGACTACCTTTTATTTGTCTTTGTGTCCCTGGAACCCAGCACAAGAACTGGCACATAATCAATCATAGTTATTGTATGAAAGAATGAGTGGTTGTTAGTTCTTTAATACAGAGTTTTTAACTTGTCTATCACTGACATCTTAAAATTAGGAAATCTCATTCTGTTCTATGATGTTACTAAAAACTTTAAAAGAAGATTCCTCTTAAGGGTAAGCTTCTATAAACCTATTTCCATTTTTGAGATATCCATGCTTGGATAAGAAAATGATTATTTTAGACACTTCTTACTGAGGGAAGTTCTTAAAATGTTTTAAAATAACGTATATCAACAATTAGGGTTATCATATATGGTTTAGAAAATGATTTTTATAGGATAAGTAGCCAGAGCTCTTGATTGTGAATATCAAGTGATAAATGAGGTCGTTTAGAGAGAA